TTTTTTATTCAGACATGGAGAAAGAGCAACCCTGAAACACAATGGATGCCTGGTGCCAAGGACAGGAATCCAAACAAGAGGTACACTGAGAGCTAATGTCAGTGAAGGGCTTGGACACAGCCTCTGACAAACCAATCTCCAATATTGATCCACTTGGCAGGATGCTGCACAGGGCAACAAGCCTTCCCAACAGAATAAAAGGACAGAAATTCTGCAAGAGGTTGTGTAAGATATCCTCCTCAAAATTTCAGCCTATGGATTTAACTTGCAAAAGCCATGACCTGAGCCTGTAATAAAAGGGAATACAGCTACCAATTTATTGACATTTCAGAAACTTATAAATGATAAAAAGATAACCTAGATGCTCCCCAACACCCAAGAAAGCCAAGTCTATTTATCATTTCTGTTTGCCTTTTATTCTTTAGTTTTCTGTTACTGAGTTAAAAGAAAAGCTACAGTAAAATAATTGCAGTGCTTTTTTTAATCTTTGGGAAAAAAATAATCTTGGAGCATTCCTGACTTACATATCTTACTACCCCTGTAAACTTTCTTTCCAGTTAAGTAACCATAGGTAATAACTATAGTAACAGCTAAAAAAAGTTTCATAGATAAAAAAAAAATCTGACAAAATGAGGAAATCTGAAAAACAGACACAAAAAAGAAACACAGTTCCCAGTTCAGCCAGTTTCTCTAAAGAACTGTCCTCAGTTGCAGTGACAGATGCTGTAACAACCCTCTTGGTCATTTCTGGATTTGACCTTCAGCCTTCATTGAAAATTTCTGTTCTAGCTATATTTGAAAAATCAGAAACTCTTGACTGAAAGTTTAATTGAAAATTAAGGAGATGGAAGTGTGTGTAGTGATGAACTAGCTGGGTATAACCATCTCTACAGAGAAATGTTCATGTCTCGACTCTGAAAAAATCGAGGTCTATCATCAAGAAACTAGCAAAAATTGTTGTGTTAAAAGAAATAGGGAAAAACAAAGATGTAACCACAGTAAACAAAACTCCCCAAAGACAATGAAAAGCTAAGGTTGAAAGTTGAAACACAAAACTTTCAGAAAGCTTGTTACTTTTAATATTCAAGCAAAACTGATTCAGGTCCTGCCACCTACTAGCTCTGTGTTGCAGGAAAGCAGGAAAGGCTGTTCCCAGTGACAATTAGAAAGACTGCTCTGAGGCAAATTTGGCAAAATCTTGGCAAAGCTTTCTTCATAGCAGATCTCATCTAAGGACTGTCAGTGCCTATATACTCTGTCTTATACTTACAATAACTACTGCTTGAGGAATAAATATGTTTCTCATTTATTATTTATATTATTTTTTTCTATCAAGGACATCAGCATTTATGGCTATCTGGGAAACTTTAGAAGACAGAGTCAGGAGACCCTGAAAATAAAGTAAGTATGAGAAAAAGCTGTAAGAGTACTTTGCTTGCAGTGCTAAAATCAGAATTAGCAACATATATATTTATAAAGATACATCAATCTACCAGACTTCAAATAATTAATTTTGAAAAAACAGATAAATAAACAGTTTTAATGTTTAAATTATTTCCACTTCATTATCCTACAAATCAGAATCCAACAAAAATTATCCTTCACCTCAGAAATTATGAATATTAAATATTTTAACTTAATTAAAAATGTTTTAATTAGCCTTTTAAATAATAATTTAGCCTTATAACTCTTTAGAAAATTCAGATATGCTTTGTTTTTCAATTGCTCTGTTCAATTTGTTTGTTTGTTTGTTTTTCTAAACAATGCAGCTTTTCTTCTCTCAGGCTAATGTCAAGACAAATTTGTATCACTGATCTGGTTGGAAGCCTATAAGGCATAACATCACAACACTGAACTTAAACATTTCAGAGAAATAACAGCTCAAAAAGACATAACAGTGAAAGTAAAATCTGTTTAATCCCATGTTTTGATTTCTTGATTCTCATTAGTTTGCAAAATGAAGTTGAAAATTCCTGTGTTATATTGGCATTTGCTTTGACATTAAAAACTGTGGTTGACATACAATAGCATTTTCACCAGTATCTTAGTCACGGCAGTTCATTTGAAGCAGTTTGCAATAGAGTTCTGGCCAAGAGTCAACAGATTTGGTAGCTGACTAGTTTGGTCAGAACAGAGAGCAGCACCTTTTTAACTTAGTCAAAATGTTAATCCACAACAAGGATCAAAAGGTTTTGAATCTTGACACATTTGGAGAAAAATCTTAGCCTCAGCTTTTACCTCCTAAATTTATCAATGACAACTTCAGCTAGCCCAAAATCAGTCAAAGATCAAATTCCCCTGGGCTTAATTATCTTTTGGCAAAATTGTGATATACTTGAAAAACATAGGACATATGAATAAAAACCTACATTCTAGCAATCATACTGAGTCACAGATTGCACACAATGCTATAGTATCATTAATGGGAACTACTATACTTAGTGAGGAAAACAGAAACCTCACAAATTGCTCTCAATTCAACAACAACAATGGTTAGAATGCCATTTTATCAACTTTGTGAATCAACACTGCTATGTGACAACTATGTCCTTAGCTCTGATCCGGCCAGCGTGCCACCTGCCTCTTCCATACTATAAACACATATTAATCATCTCCCGTGGCAGTGAGTCCCCTTCCAATTTTCAAAAGGCTTTTCTCCTAAGCACTGTTATTCTTCACAAGATGCTAACCAAGGGGGAAAAAACCCAAACTGGCAAATAAATAATGCAAAGGGGTGCAGTTGTCTATCTGCTGACTTTTGTTGCTATGAAAAATCCCAAGGGAAGGAATCCTACTGGCAGCAATGACTATCAGAGTTTTGGGCAACAGCAGTGTCCAGCCTAAAAACCTGATGTGACCGAGGGCCTCACTACTCACACTGTGAAAGTAGAGGATATCAGGGGCTGGGGACTCAGCCTTCCTTAAAAGATCTGAGATTCAGTTTAGGATCCCCTGGAGACTTAGGAGGGCAAGGGCAAGAGAAATTTATTCTTCCAATGAAGCCATTCAAAGAGGAAGCTTATAAAATGAGAATATTCAAGAGCTTCCCAACGTTTACAGAAGAAAATATCAGTAAATCCTCTGTATAGTAGTTTACATTATCAGTTCAGCACTGCAATACCTAAACGAGAGTATTCATAGTAAAACTCTAATGTCACCTTCATGTTCCACAGAATACATGATAGTTTAGAAACTATTATTTCAAAATTCACATGTTGAAATTTTCTAATTGACTGCTCATACGTTTCAAAATGATTTTATAATTATTGACTGAACAAGCTAAATTAACCCTGAAACTTGTAGTAGTAAGTATTAAACTGCTTACTTACCTATCTACTTATCTGCAAATAGACCTACCCATTACAGTAACAGCTGCCATTCTGATGCACTGCATTCTCTTCCAATGAACACCTCTGCACAGAGCTGTTGGAGCTGTAGCATCAAACAACCCCACCCCTCACTGTGCCATCCTATCTGTCTGTGCAAATGGACACCCAGAGTTCTCCACACATTTACACACTGATGCCAAAAGTGTTTCAGGAGCTAGCAATTAGGTCCAGGGAGCTTTTCATTAAATTTATATTTAAGCACAGATGATTTGCACAGCCTTGAGTAAGACTCCTTCTGCCTCAGTACCACATCTTTAAAACTGGGTTAGTATCATCTCCCCATTTCACAGTGAAGACATGAGATACTAGACTAACAAGGTCAAGATGTTCATATCACCTTTGTATATATCTGTGGATATTTGTTTTGTATAATTAGTAATAAAATAAGGATGGTTTCAGAAACTTAACATTAGGAAAGAACACCTCAAAAGAATCAGTAATATACAGTAAAAAAAAGAAAACACATCTATTTTTCCTATGAAATGACGTTTCATGTGAAGCCTCAGTAGTGTGTTCACCACAATTGAAGCAAAGATTGAAAACTGAAACTATCACACACCAAAAAAAAAAAAAGACAAAAAAGTAGAATATATTCTCCAAAGCTATGACTACCTGTCAGTGAGCAATTAACTTTTTAAATGTACACCGTAGCATGAAATACTTAGTTTCATTGCAACCTAGCTTGTAACATCAAGATGTTTCCTGGTTTGTATGATGCATAACCTGAAAGTTTTCATGGAAAATGTAAATATTGCCTGTTTTTAAAAATATTCATTTTTTAATACATATAGATACACATAAGAAGTATTTTACATGTTTTCAATACAACAAGGAACGTTCAAAACGTAAAAGAATAATTTCATGCAGGAAATAATTTCTTGCAGGTATGGCAAGGGCAGATAAAGTAACTTTCAGGTTGTCCTTCCCCTCTTTCCTTTTAGACATGTTACATCCTTGAAGATCTTTCTCCCCGGTGCAATATATTCTCCCTAATCTGTGTATGATTTGCAGTGAGTCTACAAAGGATCCCTTGTGTCAGAGTTTTTTCCATTGCTGTTTTCATGAAAAACTGTAATGCAGAGCAATATTCTGACAGTTTCTTTCTTTTTAATGTCACTGACTTCCTTTAAATGGTTACTAAATAGTGCAAATTATGAACAACAGATCTGTAGAAAAACAGTCTTGCTGATGACCCAAATTCCAAGCTATGTCTTTCAAGAAGTTTAGTTTAGACTGACTCCAGTCAGGTCCCTCAGACTGCTGCCAACATTAAGTGTGCTTCTACAGTGCACCTTTCACTCTAGTTTCATCCAAGAGGAATCCAGTTCACCTAGCTCAAGACTGCTCCAGAATATGAACTGAAGTACAGTCAGTGGGGACAATCAACAGATTCAATGGTCCAAACTAAACAGCTAATACAAGTGTACTTATCATGTAAGGTCTATAAATCAGTTTCCATCTTTACAACTACTGGGATTTGGTGTTTCCTGACTTCAGTGACATTATTTCCAATTTGTCCATAATAAGTAAAAGCAGAATACAAGTCTAAAGGAAGTTACTAGTATATCTCTCACATCATTTACTATATATGCAAAAGATTCAAAAACTTACCATATCAGTATCTGAAACAGGTCCAAAACTGGTCACATAGATGTTAGTGAAGACTTCAGTAATACTATCTGATACAAAAAGAAAAAACAAGCAAACATTTTAAATTTGTAGTACTTCAAACTCTCTGTGCAAAATCACAGAGCATTTTGAACAATTTTCTGTCCTTATTTACTTCTGCTAACCAGTATCCTGTTGTAGATACCAGGGGTCTCTACCCCACTTAACACAAAGATTATCAGACAAGAGTTTCTCCCACTGAGTAGTTTGCTTTGGTTAAAGGACTATACGACCATCAGCAACTACACACATATTTCCCATTTTCCACCAGCAAAAATAACCATACTGTCTTGGACTTAACACGACAGTATGGTTCTAAACATAAAATGCCTTTGTTGCAGAGGTGTTATCTCTGTTGTTGCAGATCATTCTTATTAAAGCCTGTCTAGTTCAAGGCACTTTTCTTCATCCTGAATAGCTTTTTCAAAGCCAAAGACAAGAAAAAGCTTACAAAGCAATTATTGACTACACCAAATGTAACACTCAACAGCATCCTAGTTTTTAATTGGGTATGTTTTTAAGTGGCACATATTTGAACATAAAGTTCCTTCCCTTGATATACAATGCTCCTGATATATTGTTGTGGCACTGTAAATACTGTAACAAAATGTTCTTCCTAATCATTGTAGTCAGACAGGCATGAAATCAGAATATTAAATATTGTACTGCAGGGAAAAAATAATTGCTGAGTTTTCTATCTTCAGTTTTCAATTAGGCTCAAAATGGAACAATATTCACTAAGAGGGATAGCACACACTTGCAGGAAATTTCTTACAGCAGTTGCCAACTACTGTCTGCATTTAAGACAGTCAAAACGAGGAATTCTCTGCCTTAAAGCCAGTTGCTGGCTGGAAAAGAAATATTTGAATACAACTAGCTGCAATTTGACTCAACTCAGAACTTCCCATTCCTAAAAATAATACAGTTGTCTGTTGTATGAGTGATTCTGCTGTTATGTTACGATTTACATATTTAACAACATTTAATATGCATAGATAATACTTTCTATATTCCTAAAAGCTACCTTTTGACAAACATGTGGCATAGGCAGATTTTACTAATTGTATTGAGGCAAACAGTATAATTGCTGCCCTCTATTGAGAGAAATCAGCAGTGCCCAGCCATGACGGCAGATGCTCTACCAGCCACCAAGCAAAGCCAAGACTGTTCAGTGAGCGGCTGCATGTGGAGCAGTTTCAAAGGGACGTAGCTGCACCCAAAGCAGCGATGGGGTGATACAGTACTTTCAGAAAACTCCTGAAGCATGGGAAGGCACATTCCTGCACTCTTATCTTTAAGGAAACTAATTTCCTTCTCCAGCCAAACACTAGACGTGTTTATTAGAACACAAGACTTTGTAAAGCTTTTCCTACCCGAGACAATCGTCTTTCCAGGATCCTCTCTGCTTTTTAAGCAAATAAATGAAGGCTGATTCTGACTAGTTCAAAGGCACACTTCTGCTGAACGTCCTGAGATGTCTATTTGTGTAATAGAGACTTCTGTAATCCCCTATGCAACATCCATACACAAGCTGAGTTGATCTCTACTCCAGACATTTTACAAACTAAAAATTAGTGGGCAACAAAAGGTGCCAAGTCTTCACCGTTCTCAGTATTCAACAAGGATAAAGTATGGGTTTGGCTAAAATATCATACAGAAACCACAGGTACAGTTCAGAGACTAGTGGCTGCACATTGCCTGTGGGAGACTCTCCAGAAGAAAAAGATTATTCTCTCCAAATGGTTACCTGGCACAGGCTGAGAAATGGAAAACTGACAACAGATCTACTCTTCAGGGGGTAAAACAGTGCTGCAGGGGCTAACAGTGAAATTTGGCCTGTACAGTGAAATTTGGCCTGTACTATAATGACAACACAAAATCTTAATTACAGTTTCATGAAAAACACTAGTATTACAAAAATATGCCTGATAATCAAGTATCCCAACAGCAGAGAACCAAGACTAATTTCAATTATACTGGTATAATCTGAAGGAACCCTACTATAGGCAACAAAGTCACTCGGCAAATCTTAACCTGCACAAAAACCCCACCCCAAATGACTGGAAGCATGGTCCTCTTGTAACCTCACCCTATTGCTATCAGTTTGCATCTGACGTATTATTTGATACATGGGAATGACTTTACAATTTGCATAGAGTAAACTACAGGACATGGAATTTTCAAGCTTGCCTTGCATTTTAAGTTTTAATTAAAAAAAAAAGTCTCACATCCTATCATATTATTTTTATATACTTCCGAATCTATCCTCCCATGAGAAATAAGGAGAGAGCCTCTGCTCAACAAAAAATTGACTGCAACATACCATTGCATGCTGTTATAACAGTCTGTAGATTCCCCTTGTTGGAGTGTATTACTCACTTCAAACCATTTCAAATCCTTGGAGAGAAGGATCAAGATTTGGGGAGTGGAGTGGGGATGGATGGGAAGAAGAGGCTTGCTATCCACAGATCCTCAGCTGCAAGAGCTTCATTTCACGTAGTCATAATTAAGATAAGCACTTCAATGTATATAAAAAGTCCTGGGGCAAATTAATCTCTGATAGCCTCAGGAATGGGAATGGATGCAAATTAATCATGCACCTTTACTTCTTCTTTCCAAAAACTTGTCTTAAACCGGCATAGCTCCATGCAATGGCGACAGCAGTGAGTTTCAATGCAACCAGTTGCTCTCCCCTGAAATGAGGGTTCACCCTGACGGCAGGCACTCCACCAGGCTGTTTCTCCTCAGGTGAAAGCCATGCCGCAGGGTATGAAAGGGACAAGGGAAGCTGGAAAAGTTACAAGAGATGAGAAGACTAAGGGAAAAGGAAGGATAAGAAAACAGAACAAAGGAAGACAGGAAAAAAAGAATGAAGAAAGTACACAAAAGAGGAACTGGCAGATTTTTATTTCTGAGTCCTATATTCTCTCAAAAATCTGCTTATTTTATAAGTTCCTATTCATACCCTAGACACAAGGAAACTCGTCCTTAAGGACAAAAGAAGCTGAAATGCAATAAATCTTGAATTATTCCTGCTACCATCTCTTAGTGTTAGGAGCCTGAGCCTTGTATCTGTTTCTTCTTTGTTACTTTACATAGTGTTACAATAAAGATTCCTCTGAATTACAAATTTGAACTCAGGGTTTCCGAATCAGTGTCTACGAAAAGAAAAAATAATCCTCCTTTATTACAACAAATATTGTAGTTATTGCTTTGAAAGAATACACGCTTATCAAATAAAGTCTGTATTAAAACATACCACTTTGTCCCACTAGTAACTTACTGAAAACAATTCAAAGGCACAAAGCACAGTTTCAGATGGACTGTAATCAGAATTCATCCAGCAGACACCACAGTTACCGGCTTTTTATAACTCACTTTCTGTCAAGAACAGCACAAGTCATCACATTTAGCTCACTGGAGATTCAAACAGTACTGGATCATCAGTGCTTGTGGAAAAGCCAAAGGAATGTACTCAGATAAAAAATGTTCAAACTAACATGCATTCATGTACAAATCTAGAGTCTATTTTTTTGAGAAAAATTAAGGACAAGTTTTTTTTCCACTAGAATTATAAAATCTTTTTCTTCAATTGACATGTAAACACATAACTAAAAGGCTTGATTTTCAAAAGTTCTTAAATCAATGGAGGCCTAGTGCTTTAGAAAAACAGTCTAGTTTTTAAAGAGGAACCCTCTGTTGGGAGGAGGAGTGGCTGACTCATTTATATTTGTGAGCTCCTAAGTTATTCTGAATCACCACCTTTGAGGGTTAAACAAAGAAATAGGAACAGGAAAGGGTAGGAATATAGCTTCTATTTCTGACACTTCTTACCGAAAAAAAATCTCAGGCAAAGAATATGACACGTAGATTGCCATCATTGCATTACGTGCAATGCTCTGAAATTCAGCAGCATTGTTTCCAGTTTGCCTTGGTCCTAAGTGTTAAAAGAGAAGCCTTATCTGAATTAGCTTAGGCCAGTTCCTCAGAAGATGGAAGCCCAAGGTAAATGGACAAAGAGTTAAGAAAGTTAAGAAGAAAGAGGGGAAGTAAAACACAACCTATGGAAGTATTAAAAGCAATAACTACTAAGATCATGTTTCACATGGCTCTCTAGCACTGGTTTCTCCTGACTCCCTTTCTATACTTGAACTGTCATGATGACAATACTGAAAAAAAATCAAAAAGTAAGAAAAAGCAATAAATATACCAAATTGCAGAAGATTTATTGATCCTTACCTATCCTTAGTTGGAAGGTTTACTGTGTGCTTTAATTATATTTAGGATTTTTACAAACATTAATTATAATAACCTCTCTCTGAAGATAATCATTTTATTATCTTCATTTTTCCGTACTTGGGAAGCTGAGGCAGAAGGATCACATCAAGTGTAAGTAATGTGCAGTACAGGTGTTTATCAAATCTGGCTTCAGCTGTCCAATGCTGAGTATCCACACTGGAAATTGCGACATCATTGACTCATCAAAAATTAGAAGAGGAGTTCAGAGCTTAGTTAGAGTTGGTATCAATGCCTTTGTCCATTCCATTACGCCAGCTCTCCTGCTGCTGGAATACCCTTTCTGATGGTCTGAAATCTTGCTGACTTGTTCCTCAGTAGAAGAGCTGGCTCAGCTGAAGTACTCTGCTTGGCAGAGAATATGCAGTGGCTGAAGTCTAAATCAATCGCAGGTTGAGTAATGGAGGTGGTCACAAAAGTAGGTTGAAAATGTTCATCAGCATTCACCAGCTTGTCAAAATTGTAAATTTCCACAGAGGCAATTCAATTTTGAATGAGTTCCTTTGGAATGCTGCCTGCCAGGCAGATTTCAAAACTTCTCTGCTTTCTTTCAAATGTCCCTTCTTCTCAGCAGCCAGCATCTCTGAAGGTGTACACGAAGTTTCACTGTCTGCGGTGTGGTGTAGCTTACATGCAGGGTTGGGCCCACGTCAGATCTCTTCCTTTCGTGGAGAACTCTGACACAGGATTGATTATCTTTCTTGAAATAAATTTT